AGTTTGTTTTTCTTTATTTCTATGTACTCTACCCATATATCTAGTGAATATCAATCATATATTTAGTAAGTCATGCAGAAATTCAAGGGTGAGATTTCTGGGTATATTTGCCTGCAAAAAATCCTCCACACCCGCAGGTACCCGCCCTGGCGGCCCTGGCAGGTGCGGGTGCGGGTGCAAGTGTCCAAAATATTGGATTTTTGAGGCAGGTACCTGGGTATGAAGCAACATCTCTATGTGCCATAGCACCTGGTCCCATTTTCATTTCCAATTTTTACCTTTTGTGTTCTCACAAACCAAAAATAAAGGGCTTGGGAAAAACTCCTCCCGTTTTTTTGCCAACGACTCCCAATTGACGTCCGCTGACGGTCGTTGGGAGTCGTTGGCAAAAAAACGGGAGTCGTTTTTCCCAAGCCCTTTATTTTTGGTTTGTGAAAACACAAAAGGTAAAAATTGGAAATGAAAATGGGACCAGGTGCTATGGCACATAGAGATGTTGCTTCATACCCAGGTACCTGCCTCAAAAATCCAATATTTTGGACACTTGCACCCGCACCCGCACCTGCCAGGGCCGCCAGGGCGGGTACCTGCGGGTGTGGAGGATTTTTTGCAGGCAAATATACCCAGAAATCTCACCCTTGAATTTCTGCATGACTTACTAAATATATGATTGATATTCACTAGATATATGGGTAAGAGTAACATAGAAATAAAGAAAAACAAACTATTCTATCACTAATTTGCACTATATCTTCTCTCTGATCTATTGTCTCAAGGCCGGAGGGTTCCCTCTGGCCTCAACAGGCCCATGTAGGACACCATTTGGTGTCCTACATGGGTTTCTGACACGTGCCTTTGTGCAGCCCAACACACCCAAAAAAGGGAGTGTTGGACCGCTGATGACAATTTCAATTCTCATGGGGGAAGCATTCCCAGGGCGGGTGTAAGGCAGGTACCCGGGTACCTGCCTTTTTTTTCCCCAAAAGCCGACACCCACACCCGCACCCACACCTGTTTGCAGGTACCTGTTTTCCAAAGCGGGTAACTGCAAACGGGTACCTGCTGACATCTCTAATGGCACAGGCCCTTAAGTTTTTGGTGAAAAGGAAGACAAGCAGAATATCAAAGTTCATCACATAATATCAATGATTGAAGCTGCTGCAAAAGACAACAGAAATTCAAAACTCCAGAAACCACTGAACCAGAGGAAGATAAGTAAAGATCAAAGTGAAGATTTTCCAGGTTTTTGTTTTCTTATAGGAAGACAGATATCTTAGAAACAGGAAAATTGTGTTCACTTCTTTCAATCACCCCTTTCATAATCAACTTAAGCCAGATTTATTTTGGAACTCCAACAGCATGCGTATAATCAAACTCAATTGCCTCAATATGAGATTTTGATCTCTAGACTCTACTCATCCTTCTCTTTTTTTGTTTGAATTTTTCAATTTAAAACACCCAGCACTCTAGATACTGACACAAAAAAAAACTGCCCAGAAAACATACTATCAATTTCAAGCACTTGGAAATGGAAAAGCTTTGAAATGCAGTTTTTGTTTGAAATTATTTTTTTTGAATTGAGGATTGTTTGTTGAACATGTCCCATTGAATTTAGGCCCCGTTTGGCCGCAAATCATGATTTGTGATTTGGCTAAGGTTTGGCGCGGATTTGGACCGTGCAATATAAAACAATATAAAATTTTTGCACAAATTCCTAACAAATCTTGACTCAAAATTACAAATTATGGACGGCCAAACGGGGCCTTAGTTTCTGGATGCCTTGGCTGGATGTAACATGTGTTGAAGAAAACCTGGTAAACATTCAAGTGTCCAGTGGAAGCAGAAAACCCAAGGGGGAAAGTGCAAGCCTAACTAGGCCTCCACGGCGGGAGCGGGAGCGAGCAGCGGAGCTGTCCACGCCAGTGGAGGCCTAAGACAGATGCGGCAATCCCCGCGTGCTGAGTTTTCAAATTTGGGCTTAAAAGCCAGTTTTTTGTGCATTTTTCTACCTATGCTCTTCCTCTTCCACTATTATCTAATTTCCTTGTGGACCAAGGAGGGCCTGCTTCTTGTAAATGTTTCCCTCTCCTCACATTATTTTGTAATTTTGTCAATTTTGATATAGTTATTTTTGAAAATGACAACTTTTCAACAAAAGTTGAGTTTTTTTTGGTGTGCGCTAGTTCATTAAGCTGCTTATGTGAGCGTAAAAAAAGTTCAAACGTTGATTTTAGAAAATCAATATTGATTACTTTTGTGATTTTAAAATTTTGAAATTTGGCCTGATCAATAAGATCAGGCAGGTCTTGAAAAATTCGAGACCAAACATCAAAAAAGTTTTGAGGGAGCGTCATGATTTCAAATCTTGTGACGCTCCCACCAAAACACCAGAAACTCAGCACCTGAGTTTGTCGACCTCTGGCCCAAGTCTCCCCTGCGGGGAGTTCCCTTCGGGAACCGCCTGGCCAGCGCTACGCTGCCAGATGCGCCCCCCGCAGCCTGAGACTTGCGATAAGTTCGGGGAAAGTGCTATTGGTCCTGGGGTAAGTAGAAAGTGTAGAAGGCTCGGATGATTTTCATGTGCTCTCCGCTTTCATGCGCTGCGTTCCGCGTCCCATACATGGCTTATGCAATACTGGCTGGAAAATGCTGCTGCGGCTGTGCGTTGTGGGTTTCTGTTTCTTCTCCGTTCAGCCCTCCGGCCTTGCCCACACTTCTACCACCAACGCTACCACAAGAAAAGCATTTGCAAGCACGACCCGAAACGACCCAACTGATTCCATCAGATACCCAGTCCTAGCAACACCAAGTTGAAGATTCCTTACAGCATGTCCTTCAGACAAATCCTGCCCACTGTCCCCCGAGCGCTTCGTTCTTCCACCAGACTGAATGGCAAACAGTCTTACTCAATCTTGTCCGGTCGAGTAGCCACCCCCCTCGTCAACTCCTCGCCCGTGTCCCCTCGAGCTGCCGGTTTAAATCAAACTCAAACTCGTGGTGTCAAAACTCTGGATTTCGCTGGACACAAGGAAGTCGTCTACGAGCGTGCCGATTGGCCTGCTTCCAAGTTACAAGAGTATTTCAAGGTCCTTCGTTTTTCCTACTCCTTTCATCCCTCAAGATACAGCTGAAATTTCAGTCAAGAAAGCCAAGTCTGATATTTCTAGGATTATATGAATATTCGCTTTTCTCTAGAACGACACTCTTGCCATCATTGGATACGGTTCTCAAGGACACGGCCAAGGTCTCAACGCTCGGGACAATGGTCTCAATGTCATCATTGGTGTTAGAGAAGGCGGTGCCAGTTGGAAGGCTGCCGAAGCAGATGGATGGGTGAGTGAATAACGGACTCGAATACGGATTCTAATAGGGCTTGCTGTGATAGCATGCAACCAATCTAACATATAATCAACCTTTTTGAAACTTCGGTTGATCTACGTAGGTTCCAGGAAAGACTTTACTGCCAATCAACCAGGCCCTGGAGAAAGGAACGATCATCATGAACCTTCTCTCTGATGCCGCCCAATCCCAAACATGGGATTCCATCAAGCCCTATCTTACCAAGGGCAAAACCCTCTACTTCTCTCATGGATTCTCCGTCGTCTACAAGAATGATACCGGTGTTGTCCCCCCCAAAGACATTGATGTGATTCTCTGTGCACCCAAGGGCAGTGGAAGGACCGTCAGAACCCTCTTCCAAGAAGGCCGTGGTATCAACGGTAGTGTTGCCGTATGGCAAGATGTGACCGGCAAAGCTAAGGAGAAAGCTGTGGCCCTTGGTGTCGGTGTCGGTACCGGTTACTTGTATGAAACCACTTTCGAAAAGGAGGTCTACTCCGATCTCTACGGGGAGCGTGGTGTTTTGATGGGTGGAATTCGTATGTTATTCTCATCTGATGTATATCGATGAAGAAACTTGACTGACCTCAGTCGAATAACCTCCAGAGGGTATGTTCCTCGCTCAGTACAAGGTATTGAGGGAAAACGGACACAGTCCCTCTGAAGCCTTCAACGAGACCGTCGAGGAAGCCACCCAATCTCTTTTCCCTCTGATTGGGGCCCATGGTAAATACGCATTCAATGACTTGTCCTCAGTTTTTCACAGTTGCATGATCCGATCTTAAACGCTTTTTGTTCTACTCGTTTAGGTATGGACTACATGTATGCCGCCTGCTCTACCACTGCCCGTCGTGGTGCCTTGGATTGGGCCCCCAAGTTCGAAGCCGCCAACAAGCCTATCTTCGAGGCCCTTTACAAATCGGTCAAGAACGGTGACGAGACCAGACGATCCCTCGAATTCAACGGCCGAAAAACTTACTCCGAAGATTTGGCTAAGGAATTGGCCGAGATCGACTCTCAAGAGATCTGGAGAGCTGGGAAAACTGTTCGAGTACGTTTCTCGATTTCTTGAAGAATCTTCGTCCCTTCACGAACCTTTTCAGCACAGCTAACTCGACCCCTTTAATAGGGACTTCGACCGGATGCCAAGAAATCCTAGATATCCCTTCGATCTCGTGATTTCTACTTAATACTCCCATCCTTCACTTTCATTTGGATTCTTGTTTTGACTAAAACATCAACAGATCTTTTTGTTGACAGTTCGTTGACCAAAACAGTTTTGAATGAATACATTCCTCCCTTGTGGCTTGCTGGAGGGACTTATGACTCAAACCCATTTGTGGTGTGAGGCTGTTTCAAAAGCTGGTGGGATAATCTGACATGTCAACCTACACCTACACCACATGGCTAAAGGTTTGTAGATTCAAACCTTGAACAGACTGGCATCTGTCCCTCACTTGGGACCCTTCTCCTTTGTAAATAAGAGAACACAAGAAGTTGATAACATTTTCAAAATTCAAGAGTCCACAATACACAGACATCCGCGTGCAATCCATAAATGTCAACTGCAACAAACCATTCAGTAAGGTCGACAGTAAGCAAAAATAAAAAATACTACAATGGAGACAAGACACAAGCAAACACTTGCCCAATTAGGATAATTCTGTAAAAGAATGAGGTTTGACAGAAAAAACCAAGCATGAAAAGTGCTGAAAAGTGCTGGAGCCTCACACCAAAAATCTGTTTACAGCATAAGGCCCTCCAGCCAGCCATTAGGCCAGTTCACCTCTGAAGTTCAAGGCAGTTTATAGCACATTTGTAGATAAAATTTCATGAATCTTGTCAAATCTCATGAATCATCAGGTTTGGATGAATCTGAGATTTTTGACAAATTTGTAAAATTTCAATGATAAATGACATTAAATTTGCCTCAAAGCTCAGACGTGAACCGTCCTATTGGCCCCAATAGCCGTGAGGGACTTTGATGAGCTAGGGACAAGTGATAAATTCATGCCTACAGGCTATTTCAAGAGCATGATTTTGCCATTTCTGCCATCTTCACATAGCTTCCTCAACACCCTTGTGTTAGGGCGCTTTGTGGGGTATCGACTGACTTGATGTGAGTTGACCTGCCCTGATGGGAGTCATCTGTAGTGTTGATAATTATCTATGTACAGTTGCGAACGTCATAAACCTGTACTGACCCGCCTGCAAAATTTACAATTTGCACGCGGGCCCTCATGGTAGGGGGCACATAGGCTCAACCCCCCATCTACAGTGGCGCAACCCATGTTACTGTACACCATCACCAGCAAATTTTTTTTTGGCCTGTCGGCCTAATGTTTGTAGGCACTTGGGGTCCATCACCCATTTTTATTGTAGATTTGGGCTTTTTGAGGGCAGTAGTTTCCATAAATAAAAGGGCTAAGCCCCCACTGCTCCAACAAAAAAGTTTTTTTTATTTGGGGTCAACATTTCGGAATCCATGCGCTTAAATGCCCCTACAGTCTCATATTCATGTACTTAACTCTGATAACACATAAGTATGGCTTCTCCCACCAAAGATATGTGCATAAACTATAACCTAAATTTCATTTTTGTTGCTGCCAAACATGGTAATTCGACTCTGGGATGTAATTTTTTCCAAACAAGTGGCAAAAATTGCACAATTTTTGAAATTTCCAAGCCCCAAAACCTAAATTTTCCTTGGATCCTGCCCTTCCCAGGGCAGATTTTCTTGATTTTTTTCCTTCAAACATTTCGGAACCCCAAAATCCATGTACAGTAGGATGGGTTGCGCCACTGTAACCACAATTTTGAGCCTTGAACAGACCGAGGGGAGTTCAGAATTAACTCCGCTAAGGCATCCGACCAACAGTTCTTTTTTTTTCTCCGCCCCATCGGACCCGGTCTATAAATACTTTAGTAAGTACATATGTATGGATTTACAGGTGACTATATGGCCTAAGAAAGGCCATGCATGACATAAGTACATGCTTGTAACCCATACCCAAAGGTCAAAAAGGCTTGTAGGAAGTACAACCTCGGCTCAGAGTCGAACACACAACCCTTTGCAAGGCCTAAAGCCACCCAGGACCACTACACCAATACACATATGGCTTGCGGGGAGCCTGGCTGGTTGTTCGCAGGTCAGAAAATCTCCTGATTTGGTAGTATTTTCACAAAAAAAAAAATCGCAAAATTTTGGTCCCCAACCGTCCGGACCCAAAAAAAATGTGGTCGGTTAATGACGTTCGCAACTGTAGCAGTTGCATGGACGAAGGGTAAGCGGTGCTTTTTCCAAACCTTGGCCAAACTCACAATTAGGGTTCCGATCCGGGCCTCCGGGTTCGGGTATTGCCTTTCCGAGATCCGAACCCGGCATATCCGGCTCCGACACCGGGTACCCGACGGATCTGAGCCTCCAGCCCAAACTTCACCAAGCGGTTTGGGAGAGCCCAAAACTAACTTTTGATTTTGAAAAAAAAGAAAAATCTCGAAAAAAAAAGGGTCCAAAACCCCCAAAAACCCCGCATTTCTGCCATAAAGGGCGGAATTTTAGGCATAAAAACACCCGATCGGATACCGGGTATGTCTAGAGTCATCCCGTGACCCGACTCGACCCGGTACCCGGTCGGGTAGTGCCGGATCTTCGGGGTCCGGATCGGAACCCTACTCACAATAGTGCTCTCCCATGCCAGCATACCCAATCTTCTCGCCCAAATTGGATCCAGGCAACAGAGCTATGTAGGCCTTTGCAAATTGCAGCATTGTAGATATCTATGCAGCGCCATGTCCTGCCACAATCTGTGTAGCAATCCCACATCAGAGCTGCCTCACAAGGCCTCACAGCAACACTCTAGGTTATTCATCGGAAATCCGATTGGAATGCTCGAGGTCAGAGTCTCGTTCTTTAGCCCATTTCGAGTCGGTTCAGGTATAAATATATGATAAGCTGGTAGAACCAGTAGAACTACCCCTACAAGAAGTTCTCCTATCTTGTCTTCGTTGGACCCCAAAGTGTGGAAGTATTTCTGTCGCCTATCAACCCACTCACGCCCGACCCAAAGTTGGTATTCTTTATTCAAGAGCAGTAAATAGGTGCAGTGGACCGGAAGCAGTTGAGAAGTGAGTAGCACTAGCTAGCTTATCATTTGTTCGTCGCAAAATCTTGATATTTCTCAATCCTGGTTTTTGTTGCTTGCCCACCATTACCAAGCTCATCAAACCTCATTGTATACAACGCGAACATTGAAGGATGGGACTCAGACAACTCCCTTCAAATGTGTTCACATTGTTTGATGAGTATCCGCTCATGAAAAAGTACCGCAACCGGCGAATAGCTCCTACCAGTCAGTCCGGCTTCTTGCAAAGTTTTCCGTCAGAAATTTGTTCCTGTGACTGAGACAATCATGAACTGTTGACACCTAAAATCGGTTTTCGGTGCAGTCCTTTTGATCTCTGTAAGCTCAAAAAAAACTCGTGATGGCATTTAACGGCTTAGCACTCGGTCTCATCAGTCATCTTTTTGGGCTTCTTCCATAACCTGTGATTGATAGATATTACTTCTGAGCAGCTTGGTTATTTTCAACGTCATCACACAGTAAGTGTTTCCCGTAGGCTTCCATCTTTCATTACCTCACTGATCGAAATGGTGTATCCATCCCACCACGCATCGGAATAATGATCTAGAGGAAAATCTCTACGGTACAAGTGAGTTTGTAAATTTATAATGGATGTGGTCTTCTCGACAAGAATCGCCGAACTTACGCTCACCCTCCATCAATCCGCAAGAACGTTTCTTTCGTCACAATTTTTCAACGAAACGGTGTTTGCAACTGGTGACAATGTCACCTGCCAGCCAACACCAATGAAGCTCAGCGAAAGCTTTTTCACGGTAATCCCAATGAAGGATGCCCCGCGGGTTTCTGTTAGTCTTCGGGGATACCAATGGACCATTTACGCTGTGATACCTCCGGGAGGGCCAGTGTCTGAGAACACAACAACAGGCTTCCTTTACTCCGGCGAGAAGTTGAACTGTACCGTCAGTATAGTTTCCTAGAAGCAGTCCCATCCTTTTTCTCGACTTGATTCTCAATTTCATATTAATAATTCTTCCCGTTATCCAATGGCCACCTTAGAGTGAATATGTCCATCACACCTATACCTACGACACTGGAAATTTCAAGTTCAAGTGAGTTAATACGTGAATTTTGCGACCGGAAATTGCACTTAGTTACTTTACTCACACATTTGCCGGCTGATAGCTCTTGCGCAAGTTGCTTGTTAAGTACTGGCTTCATAATAAAGATATGCACGTTGTATGATTCTGCTACTCCAAAGCAAGTAGTACATCCCTTGATAATTTTTAATTCCTCGCAGCCTGTTTGTGACTTGACATCCTTGCAAATTTTTTTCATCAAGGTTGCCCAAATCTGTCCAACTACTCTACAACAACATACCCGATCTTGGCTTGTGAGTACTTTTTATCTCTTTTATCACATTATTCAAAGCTGTCTGTGTACAGCTGAGAGTCTGAACGTTTAAATTCCCGAGAAAGTCAATCACTAGATAGAATTTATCACGACATGACAATCCCTCCTGGTTCCTTACCGGTATCGGCGTTCCCGCCAGAGCATAGCGAGACACAACCGAGCTCTGTCGCAAATAAAACAATCGATTGGCCTCAAGTCCTTCAACTAAGGTCATGGCTTGGTAATATGAGTTTGATACCAGAACCAGCCAACAAATCATCGAAAGAGAAGATTATGCTCAATAATTTCACGGTTGTCGATTCGTTCTTCGACGCGTTCAAAGCTACCGATGGTCAGAACAGTTGGTCTGGGTTCGAATTTTCAGTTAAGGATATCGGGACGGTCAAGCCTCTCGGTCAAGTGTACAATCTGAGTGGGATTCCAGAAGTCTGGGCAAGAGTTTTTAACTATTCGCTATCAATGAACACCTACTTGATGCATGCTGCGAACGAAGATCTCAGCGGGGCCAATGGCAAACAAATCGGAGTCAACTACTTGTGTACAAACACTACGAAAGAATGGCAGACGGTCCCAAAAGTCGTTTCAGTCACCGTCGGAAGCACATTAGCAGTATTCTCGGCCTGTTTCACTCTACTCGTTGCTGTCAGTAAACATTCTCATCCCCTGAACGTTTTTTCGACTTGATAGAAAGCTGAGCCTAATGAAAATATTCTAATCCAATGCCCACAACACCTTATAGGTGGCCCGGAGATTGGATAACTTCAACATAAAAAATGCGGAAATGCATCAACTGGCGGAAAGTCGCACCCAATCAACTCTCAAGGTAGACGATGAGGAGGTTGTCCGTCTTGCTGCGTGAAGGAACCTCAAGTTTTGAATATAAATGTTCTCAAAAGGACGGTGATCAACGACGGCTTTTTCCTGGAATGACTTGTGATGCGCAACTCTCAAATTGCTACGGCCCATAGGAAGAAATCCGAAGGAGCACTTTAATCATATCCAATGCGCAATATTTCGAGATGCGATGTGGAATCGTTTGTCTGGAAAAGGGAAATGCTTTTCCTTAGCAATTCTTGGCGTGTAGAACATAATGTCTCCATTATTATTTGTGTAATGACATGCATCATTTATATCAAAGATAGTCAGGACTTTCAACACTTGAAGCATAGCATATGTTGAGATTTTTTAGCGTTTTTTGAAGCAATATCTATAAATGTAAAACTATACCTATTTATTCAATTAGGCTCTGAGTCTGAATCCTTGACATGATCTGTAAGAAACTACCCTCAAATCATGCTTCTCATCATACCTGAGTAGAAGGATAAGAGTTTTGATGACTTTTGTTGTTTTGAAACTAGGGCTGCGCTCTTTCCCAAATCCAAATTCATTTTTGAGAAAGATGACTTCCAACAAAAAACATGGTTTTAGCTGTACATGGTTGATTAAAAGACATTGATTTGATCTTGGATTTTCACATGCTTGATGAGTTTTATGTGAACTGATTATTTTCAACTCTGATCAAAGAAATTGGAAAAAAAGAATTCTTGAACATTTGAATATTTTGTTTTCTTAAAACTGACCTATAGGTTATTGAGGTGCAAGATGCACAAATTCAAGGTAAATAACCTACCTCACCTGAACACCTTGGTTGAGTGGAGTACATTATGGATACTTTTGTGCCACCCTTGTTTAAGGGCAGGAACTGGAAATCAGCTTTTCGGAAAACTTTACCAACCACATTGAAATCTCATAGCAATTGCAAGCCCTCTAAAACCTTGTCAAGGATCCAATGGCATTGGCAAGCCCCAAACAAGATGGAGTGGGAACCAACTCATCTTCAACAGACATTTTTAAACCCAAGGCAAACCTCAAGATAAATATATGGAATAAACCATGTAAACACATATGGATGAGAAAGAAGAGCTTCAAAACCAGGCAGACCCAAAATGTTCATGGCATTGCCATCAACAAAAAATGCAACATGGGCCACATTAAAAGCCCCTTGAACAACCAACTGTAAGGGAAAGGGATGTGGTCTGTAACGTTCCAGTCCATTCAGAGCTGACATAAAAGAGACAAATATCAATCCCCTGTTAGAGGACTCTGAGGAACTGGAACTGGACAGTAAGACAGGCATGGCACTGGCAGAAAGGAAGGGAATGGGGAACTGAGATCACAATCCCAGTGGTATCTAATTCAGATAATTAGCCAGCAATCACAGGTAAGGGAGCACCACTTATATGAAGAACCATCAGGCGGAGGATGCAGCAATTGTTTTTATATCAAGTATGCACAAAAAGACAAATTGCCACCGCGCGGGTCATTATCAATATGCAGGGATGAAATCCAGCCCTGAGTGGCCCCTTCAGGGCCTTAATTTTGTGTTGCTGGAACGGAAGCAGGAATGAAAATTGTATGGGAGAAGCAAGGGGAATAACACAAGGAACAAAGTTGGCAGGATGAGGAGTGAGAAGAGGAAGGGAAGAACACGCCAGATTTTTTACAAAGAAATTAGGCCTAGGACTATTGAAAGGCAAGATAGAAGGATGGGTGGAATGATGAGAAAAATTGAGAATGTTTGATGGGACAGGAAATGTCATTCTTGAGGATAATATAAGGTAAGAGTTGTCTGACATAAAAGTGTGATTGATAATAAAGAAGAAGAACTTGAGACTGATGAAAAAAATTTCTGAAAGAAGAGAAAGGGGAAAAGTTTAAGATTGTCTGAAGTCAAAGATCAAAATATAATTGTGAGGTGCCGACTATATTTCCCTTTTCTTAAATGACTATGAATAATTCCAAGAGGAATTATTGTCTATATTAGGAGATGTAGAGGCAAGTTATCTTTATAAAAGAATAAATTCTTGAACAGGACTTGAAAGGAATAATGATGGATGTTTTTATCTTACAATTCTTTAGTATTTTGAATGATAATGAAAAAAAGAACAAAGATATTTTGATAAGAAAGAAAAGAAAAGGGGAAAAGAAACAAAGAGAGCAAACAAGATAAGAGAAATAGATTCAAAAAAAAACTGAGAGAATCATAATGAAATTACAAAGTTAAAGAAGGACAAAGCGTAAAGGAACAAACTAACGTTCTTAATAACTATTCATTCACAATTCTCCAAGTTATTTGACCATATTAGAGATAAAAACAAAAACGTTACATTCCAGCTGAAATACTTCAGATCACCAAAACCAAGCTGGGTTGCTGTTGCAGGCTTTCAGATATCGATGATGCATCAATCCCACAAAAGCTTTATTGCATCAAAGCTTTAGCTTATTTGTGGAGATCCGGCTCAAGTGTTTGAGATGATAGGCTTGTCATTCCAAATTGGCTTTGAAATATAAAGCGGCCAGAGCCACCAGTATGTACTCCTGTCTTGGAGTTGAAAGTGTGGAAGTGATCCTGCTCTCTGTTGACCAGCACAAGTTGGACCCAAAGTCTTTGGTGGGAGTTAATCAATTTAGCTCAAGAGATTTGTCAAATTATCAGCAGCCATTCCTCTATCCATGTCATGAAATTCTTGTTGCTCATTCGTACATTTTTTTAGTTTTTGGCTTCTCAAGGCACTACAAATAATGTTGAATTGCATTCTGAGGATGTGCAGTAACATTGCATGTTGCATGCAATGTCACTTCACATTTGCAAAATGCAATTGAATATTTTGGCACTACAAATTCTATCACATTTTGTGAATGCAAGGTGACATTCTGTGACATTTGCAACTTTGTTACTAATGAATACATGGACAAGATGCAACTCTTCCTTGTTCATGTCCCCATGTTGGATGTTGGAATGATCCCAATTACATGGATGGTTGAAATTCAACCTGGGTTTTTTGTTCATCTGGGTCTACATCACCTACATTTTAGGCGGTTTTTGGGGTCCTTGCCAATCTCATCCATCCTATTTTCTTGCCAATACAAAGATTGGTTGAAACAACAGCCAAGGTGTTTCACCGAGTTGAGAAGCAGATTGGCAATTCCCTGACATGAGCACAATCCATCTAGCTTATACACGAGGGACAGTCTGATGTGTTGGAAAAAATGTGTATGTATTCAGTTTGTGCGCATGTGTATGACATCCTCATGAGATTCTGAAAGCAAAAAGCGACTGACAAAGTACGTGCGAGTTGACCTCGTCAGCTGAGTGGTCGCAGTTATACCAATGGCCATCATCGCGAGATTGGACAGCTATAACCCGAATGAAACTATCAGTAGATGCTTGGAAAGACCTTATACTTGATTTGGGATGATAAAGACTCACCAACATATTTGGGGTACTGGAAATATTGTATTGGAGCTACTGCAAGTGGATACGCATTTAGGGCCCCGTTATAGCACTTGCGGAACATGAATTCTGATGTCGGATCACCGCCTGATGTCGGATCATCGACTGATGTTGGTTCATGGCAACGTCCCACGACAGAAACAATTGAGTGTCATCAATCTTTTGTGAAATTAATACGTCTTTGCAAGTAAATGGCAACCCGGCTTACACTTGGCACCAGTTTTCAGGTCGTGGCAGTTATCATTGTAACAACTGTGATATACACCTTTAGCGTCCACACAGGCTGCGATCATAGAGAAGAAGAAAATCCAATGCGGTTACGAGTTGGACGTCAAGTTACTCTTTACTGTGGTACAATATGATCGGTTGATGCTTACAGACGGTGTGCCGTTTATGAGGATTAGCATCAGCATAGAAGTGATTGGCACATGTTTGCGCCTGAAGAGCTGCAACCTGACTCGAGAGTAGCGCGATAAGTAGGGCTAAGACTGCCACCAAGCCAATGTTTGCCTTCTGGTAGAAGATCGTGAGAGACATTGGTAAATAACGTTGTCAATAGGACGAGTCGATAAGATAACTAGAGCTATGCTCTCTTCTTTGGGAAATAAATGAGATGATGAGGGTGGGTTTCGTCTTACATAGCCAGGTGGGCGCTGATGCCGTTGGATCCAAGGCTATTTGTGCCGTCTTTCTTGGACCGCGCTACTCAATTCATCATTCATCGTACTATTCTCGCAGCTTCCGGACTCCGGCTTTAATCTGATTACCCGTTGGGGCGGCTGCCATACAGATGTCGGGCTGGCTGAGCCGCCAACAATGTCCAATGGTGCCACATCCACAGGCCACAGCCTGACTTCCCTTGTATGTACAACATAAACAATCTCTTTGAGGATGAAGCGCCCCGGCCCTACATAGCTTACAAGCACATGCCCCAGCTTAAGCCAAATGTTTGACCGTTCCGGCTAAGGGTGGCACCCGAAAGGCGCAACCCGGGGTGACACCCCGGGTGGTACCACCCGGGGTGCGGTGGTCGGGATGGGTCCGGAGCACCCCCCGACACCCCGGGTGGTTAAAATTGAAGCCTTGAGAGGCCTTTTGAGATGTTAAAATTACACTTTTGGACATTTGTCGTGCATCATCAGTGCTCTGATGAGCCAACCGGCGTCTATTTAACGAGCCAGGAAAGTGGCAAGTGTGCGAATAGAGTGACGATTGAGCAGGGGGAGCGAGGTGACAACTTACCGACTAGCAATAAAGTGAGTTTCCCTCATCAAAAATCAAACATACCGTTGTAAAAGAGGGAGATGGAGCGTCTGGGGTATATTCTAGGCTCACAACCACCCCTCAACTCAGTGCTTGCCAGCAAAAAATAAAAAACAAAAACCCCCCGGGTGGATCGGTGTCCACCCGGTTGGTTTCGGATGTGGGGTCCGGGATGGGCTTGACCCCCCACCCGAAGCCCCGGGTGCCAGCCTTAGTTCCGGCTGAAGCTTAACATGCGGGTTAAGATGTTTCCATGGCAAGAGGCTGTATGCACACGCCGGGAGGAGCGCGGTTGTTGATCCGACGCCAAACTTCAAGTTCCCCACAAGGAAGCACGAAGCACCCCCGCCTAAGTGATTTGATGCACATGATGTAAGCTAGATTTTTCTCCGGAAAAGAATGAGATGAAGTTCTTAGATGAACGATCATTCTTTTCATGTCTATGTGTAGACGTAACAAGACCCAGGAAACCCCCTATAGAGGTGGGCAACCAAAATGTAAGAATTTTTTGGGAAATTCCTGATATCACACGCACGAAAGTGGTATGAATTAGCTCCCAAAACTGAAATGGTAGGCACAAAAATGGTTTAAAATGTATGAATTTTGGCTCAATCTTGAGGAAAGCCTGCCTAACTGACACATCCCCGCATTTTCAGGGGCAATTTTCTCACTTTCTGGGGGATTTTCCTCCCAGCATACGTACAAAAATGGTATAAATGGCTTCCAAAAATGTATGGATCTTTGGTTACCCACCTCTATAGAGGGTTTCCTGGGTCCTGTAGTAACTACTATATATATACATGAAAAGAAGAAGCACAATAGGTCTAGGTGAGTCAAACACTCTGTGACCTAGTTAGGTCACAACACTCCCCCCTCAGCTAGACTCCAGATATAAATCTCCCCCAGAAATTTTCAAAAGGTTCCTGTGTAAGTGCTTTTGTTTGAATATCTGCTAGTTGTTTGGTAGCTCAAGCTAGTACTGGCTTGATTGGTCATAAAAAATTCTCTATCCACAGGTCTGATTCTTTTGTTGGCGGAATCATCCATGCTTAGAGCAACTCCACTGCGGCCCCTATTTTTGGGCTGCTAAATTTTGATTGCTGGGACTGCGAAACCAACTTGACAGCCTTAAAGTGCTGTGGCATGCACCATGAGATTCTTTAAGAATTTGTGAAAGGATGAGTGGTGTGTGAAGTCAGAACCAATTTGTATTGAGGTATTAGAGTTTCACAAGCTAGTTGTTATGTGAAAGGGGATTGGCAGGTTGATAGAGGAGTTGCTAGGAAAGTAGGGACTGGGGCACAAAATTTAGGGATGGCCGTAGAATTGAGACACAAATAGCAGCCGCAGTGGCTTATGTTGAGTTGGTAAATTCCAACTAGGGACCTGATTTACCGCCCACGGTGGAGTTGCTCTTACTCTGAAGGCCATCTGATCATTGCACCATTTATAGCTATTTTGTACCAAGTGTGACCTTGATTGGTCTTACCACACTGAATCAAGACAAAAGTTGCTGTTGGAATAAAAGTCTTGCTAAAGTCATAACCTTCCACCTGTGTGAACCCTTTTTCCACATATCTGTCTTTCCATTGTATGACTTTTGAACTGTCATTTGATCTCTCTGTAAAAACCCATCTGCCATTGAGGGCTTGTCTTCCTTCTGGTCAAGGCAGAGTCAACCATACTTTCATTTGGAATAATTTGCTAAGCTCTTCCTCTATTAGGACAGTTCACATTTGAATAAAATCTTGTTGATTTTGGATGAAATTCCTGCTTGCTGGTTTCAAAAAAGTTTGAAAATTGGCAGATGTGTATTCCAACTTTATGCATGCAAATTCAAAGCGCTCTGCTGGTTTCACAGAAAGGTTTTGCTGAAATATTTCAAATGTGAACTGTCCTATTGTGTCTTTCCATTTGTCCCACTGTTTCAATTTCTGTGAACAAAACAAAACAAAACAATGGAATAAACCAACATGCCAAGATGCTTGGGACCAAGAAAACAAACAAGAATGTCTACTGATTAGGTGATTTGAAAAACCAGTAAGGAGGATAAAAATGATGAAATTAAAATAAAATCAAGATAAACAAAATTAATATGAAGGTAAAATAATAAGAGGAAATGAAATAATAGAAGGAGGTCAAAACATGATTTAATAATATAATGAAGAAACCATTGGACTGAGAGGGGATTTGAGGTGATAATCTTGAGATCTTGAGGCTTGGGGATATTGAAAAGTTGAAGACTTAGAATTTTGACCTTGAGGGGGCCTGTGCCATTTAAAACACCACAGCAGTGGGAAGATACTTGACCCAACTAGATAATGTCATTTGTAACATAACCTTTACAGTTACATTAACCACACATTACAGATATCTTTATTGAAGTCAAGATATATATTGAAGAAAAAGGCTGCTTTATGTGCTAGTTATGTTCCCAGAAATTCTGAACAAAACAGGGTGATGTTACAGAATTTCCAGAATTTGGATAACTTGATTGAGGGTAACTTTGATGGGGGTACACTGATTTTTGATGGCTCTTTTTTTAATGAAGTTGTAAGGACTGCGAATGTCCTTCACTAAGTGGACAGAGAAGTGGCACGGAGAGCAGGTAATTGAACCTAAACTTTTCTAAGACCAAACACGGGGAGCTTTTTATTACTGGCTCAGAGAGATGGAAGGGAAGATCTCTCAGTACAATCTAAAAAGGAGATAACAAGAAGGAAAGAGAAAAATGAAAAAGAGAATGGAACTCACCTGGCTCAGAGAGATGGAAGGGAAGATCTCTGCAGAGCCAGGAAGGGGAACTCGAAGATGAAGACTAAAAGGGGGATGTGACATCTGAGTGAAAGGTTTGTGAACCAAACCGGAGGGGGGGTTTACAGAAGTGCAAGGCAATAATTTGCCCAATTGAATCATAAACCAATCAGTAATTACCATCTCACCAGAGTAAGTCAGGTCAACAGAGGTCTGGTGTGAGAATTGAAACCACAACCTCAACCTATTCAATGTACATGTGACACAGCTGTCAATTGGCTGTTGTAGAGAGCCTGCTGCAACACCTGTTGCTGGCATGCGACCTGTGCCATATGCAGTCACTCTCACCAATCCAACAGGGTGTTGCAGCAAGCTGCTGCAACAACCAATTTCCAGCTGTGTGAGGCACTCTTTGACCATTACACCACAGTCAATTGGGTGTCAATGCAGCCTGATTTGTGATCTGCCCCTGGTGGCTGCAGTCACTGCAGAGGTGACAAATCAGGTAGGAGTGACTTCCAATTGACTATGATGCTAAGCTCTATGTAATATGATTTTCCTTCTCTCTTCAACTTCACATAACCCCCCCCCCCCCAAATAGGTTATGTTACCCCAAAATAATATATAGAAGAAAGAAATTGGTTATGTTACATTAATTTACAATCAAAGTCAGTTACTTTACAAAAACAACAGATTTGGGCAACTAGAGAAACATTGCATTCTCCAAATACTAATGTGTCTTCCCACCACTGGCGTTTAAATAAACTATAATCTCAGGTCCGCCCCTTACTAACAAGGGCAGGATTGTAGCATATGCATTTTCCAATTACTCTTGTCATGTGTCAGACTGTTTTGAGCGATTCTATGAAGATAAGAAGAAGTTGAGGATTTGAATCGATTTGAAAACACAAAAACATGAAGACCTTTGTTTGATCAGGCCAGTCTGGGCTCTGGCGGAGAGAAAACCTACAAAAGATTTGGAGAGATATCTTGATTGAAGAAAAAAAAACAGATCATAATCGGAAGCTTGATCAAGTTGAAATACAATCAATTAGATTCAAAATCCTCAGAAAAGAAAGATCAGTGTGTGGATCTTGAATCCTTTATTTTCCCTCTTCCGATATAAGCAGATATGCATGATTTTAATCACCCAATTTTTTCCGAGCAAATTCCGATAGATCCCAGCAGAATTTGTGGGGGTTTTTTATTTCCTCAATACATAGTCTACCCATGGGTCCCAATCAACCTTCTTTAGATTCCCCTGTCCAAAACCCAAGAGCAAGGAGCTGACAATCGCTTCAGACAGTCATTCTGCTCGATTCAATTTCATGGCACACAAAACTGAATTGTGTTATGCAATATCAGCTTACCAAGGCCTGAGATATAAACAATGTGATCTTCAAAGCCCCAGGTCTCTAGTGGTTTTGATGACATGTTTTACTCAAACACTTAGCCCCAACCTGCCCATTTATGATGATTTGTGTGCATGTATGATGTAGTGTTTGTTGATTGGTTCTGCAATGGAGGAACATCTTCCCAACTCCTCCAGCCTTGCCACAAGTTTGATCAACCCTTCTTCCATCACACAAGGTACCATATGATAAGAAGTCTTCCCAAAAACAACTGCGAGTTCTCTCAGCATAAACTCTGCTGTTTTATCACCTCATCAGATGTCACACAAATTTGAACAATGTACATATATTACTCCAAACACAGCCACCACACTCTGATTCTGAAGAACAGGAAAACAAGTGGGACACACATAGTCTACACAAACAAAGACAACCAGTGTGAAAATGGATGCAGCACTTTTTTTCCCATCTGATCTATCTTCACACCTATACACACACATTTGTTTACATATAAACAAGTAAAAAAAACTATCCAGGATTTTGGAGTCAAGATGACAAACAGAAAGCAAAAGTATTTGATCCAATAGAGAAAAAAAAAAGGGATGGAGAGGGAAGGAGAGAGTATGTAAATTGTATGAAGGAGATATTTTATTCAGAGATCAACAACAAACGATACAGGATAAGTAAACAAAGCACACCTGATCTGCACTGTCAAGATGAATGAAGGGTGGTGAGGCGAGGGAAGAGAGGATTGATATATACGAGTTGGATGGGTGTGGTAATCTAGTTGGTTGGTTCAGTCAGACAAGGAAACCAAAAGAGAGAGAACAAGAGATGAAACAATAGAAGAAGAAGCAAGGGAAGATTATTTGAGATGTATGTATCTAACGTATGTCAATCTCAATATCCAAAAAAAAAAAAAAAGTATAAACACATAACAGCCAAAACAATGTATACACATCCAATGTCATCTCATGACCCTAACAAAAACATCATCCACAACCAAACAAAAACTACAAAACTGAGAAGATGTGTAGGTATTCAAAGGGAGAGAGAAGAAAAAAATATGGACAACAGAAGGCCACCAATCAATCCAAAGAAGAAGAAAAAAGAAGAGTCAATTATTGGAAGTTAGTTTTGTTGATAATATGTATATCATGTCCATAATATGATTCTCAACTGGCAGTTAATATAATATAATGTAAGGGTTTGATTAAGCTCATGATGGGTTTGAATTCATCACTGGTTGATTGGTCCATTGTTTTGATATGATGGATGAGTGTAGAGATATGAACACAGATCATTTGATTTCATATCTATGATATCCATAGATGTTTACATATATATATATAAATATATGAATATGAAAAACCTTGAGGTTTTTTTGGGGGAGGGGGTTTGTCTTTATCACTGATGAGTTGAACAAATTCCATAATTTAATCAACTATGAAAAAGAGAGAAAGAAAGGAAAAAAGAAAAAAAAAATCATCCAAATAAAAAGAATTCAAGTTGTTTTTTTGGGGGGGAGATATCAGTAATTGGTCTTGTGTTTTTCAGGCACGAGTCAAGAAGAGAGAAAGACAAGACTAACGATCTTCGATTGGAGTGTGATCGACTTCATGTTGATCAGGATAAAGAAGAAATGCGTGTTCTCCAGAGATGGGACGATGATTATGATGCAGGTGACGAAGGTGACGAAGGTGACGAGGAATCGGAGCGATGGGGGGGATGGGAGGCGAAGGCTCGCGGAGCTCTTCATGGGGCTCTTCTTCACGGGGCTCTTCTTCACGGGGCTCTTCACGGTCAACTTTACCATCAGAGCGACCAAAGTCCAGGACGACGTATTCGCTCTCCGTTCCACGCTGGACGGCAACGACACAGAAACGTTCGTCCATGGAGACCTGCCAGACGGCAGAGAAGCCGGCCAGGAGATCGCCGACCAAGACCCCATTCTCGCCGTTCCAGAGCTTCAAGGTACCGTCTGCACCCGAGACGACCCTGAATTCGTCGTGCGTAAAGCAGGTGATCGCTCCCAGATGACCCTTGAGCTCGTAGCGACATGCACCCGTCGACGGGTCCCAGACCCGTAAGGTCGCGTCCGCCGCTGCAGATACTAGTCGACGCGGACTCAGACCCAACAGGCCGACTAGGGAACTGTGCTCGCCTAGGATCCTGATCGTCTCCCCCGTCGAAAGATCCCAAAGTCTGACGGTGTTGTCCATCGAGCCCGAAGCGCATCGTCCCCGTGAGCCGTCGAGGACGACCGAGTAGATCTTCTGTTGATGACCGCGCATCACCTGAGTGCATTTTCCAGTCATGATGTCCCAGGCCCGGACCGTGCAGTCGTACGACCCAGAGACCATCGTTCGGCCCTTGGCTGCTAAAGCACGCACCGCGTGATTGTGTCCGCGCAAGAAGTGGAGATGGAACCGGTTCCCAGAGTTCGTGTCAGATGCCGCGGGTCCAATCTCGTCCGGTGAGCCCGGCGTCGGACAACCCACGTAGTCCTCGTCAGTCTCCGAGGGTAGCTTCCATACCCGAAGGGTGTAGTCACGCGAGCCGGTGACGATGACCGGGTGGGCCGGCTCCCAGATCGGCGCTTCATTGGTCTTGGGATTCACATTGACCGGCTCGACGATCTGCAGACAGCGCACGGTCGAGGTGTGGCCATGGAACACGTGCGTGTTGCGACCCGTGCGCATGTTCCAGACCCGCACCGTCCGGTCTGTACTCCCAGTCACCAGGGTATCCCCGACGTACTGTAAGGCCCAGACTCCCCCCTGGTGGCCGATGAAGTTCTGGAGCCTTCGGCCAGTGCGTAGGTCGTAGGAATGCACCACGTTGTCATCCGAGGCGGCTACCATCTTTGACCAGTCAAATTGGATACAAGTCACCACCGTCAACGCGTGTCCTTGGAAAGTGATCCTTCGGGGTTCCTTCTTCATCCAATTGCGTCGAGTCAGGAAACGTCTCCGATAGAGTAACTTGAATGAATCGCTGCCGGATAAGATATTATTCTTAATATCCGACTGATTGTCTCCAATTGTTGATTCTTGGTCACTCGACGAGCTGATGGATGGTTGAGATTGGTTGTGGACAGCAAGACTTGATGAGGATGAGGATGGATCAGAATAAAGCGGGTGGATGGATGACGAGCGAGCAGGGCCGATCTTATCTAATCTTTGGTTCTGGTAAGCGCTTGATGATGATGATGATGATGGTGATGAGCCAGATGACGGGTTGTTCCAAACCCCGGCCTTCCAGAGTCTTGAGAACCGACTGATCTCCCAATGTTTAGAGCCACGTTCGACGAGAGCACATTCCTCTGCATCGATCTCCTCGCTCCCATCGCCAATCCAGAGGTTCTCAGCCTTGAGTCGATGTTTCCAAATCGATCGACTGTTGTTGATCATGTTGTACCATGTCCTACTGACAGCCGAAGCCCTGCAGAGTGTGGTGCCATCCAGTTTGCTTAGGATGAGGACCGCGATCTCTGGGGGTGAGTCGCAGATGAAGTCACGCTTGAGTGCTGGTCCGATCATCTGTTGGACGAATTGGAGGACGGGTAGTCGGGAGCGTTTGAGTAAGTTGAAGAGCGTGAATTGTTGCAATGCTACCGGTAGTCTTGAAAATTCGGCAGTCAGGTTGGGTAATGAGAGCGAGGTTGCGAGTTCGAGATGTGCATTGGCTGCCTGGAGTGGATGGACTGTTGCCAGTGGGGTTGTCGCATTATTTGCTTGGTGGTGATGATGATGATGATTGTTATTCAAGTTTTCGGTTGAATCAGGTGGGGTGATTTGCATATGATCGGGTAGTAGATGGGAAGCTGTTTGATGGATCGGTTGTTTTTGTTGTTGTGAGTTTTTGAGATAAAAAGAAGAAGAAGAAGAAGAAGGAGGGGTGCTTACGAGGTTCATAGAATTGATTGGTGTGTTCGAGTTTAGGTTTCTTGGATCGAGATGGAGGAGGGGATGAGTTGGTTGTGGGGTTTGTGGGAGCTTGAGGGCTGGTAGTCGTTCGTTTTCTGGAAGGGTGATTTAGATTGTTTGATGAGGTGGTAGTGGTTGTGGTAGTAGTAGTAGTAGATGATGAGTTGTTGGAGGGGTTGATATGGGTTGAGGGGGATGGACTGGCAGTTGGGAGTGAGGGTGATAGGGCTGGGTTGAATTTGGCGAATGATCCGTTTCCGAAGACGAGGGGGAGGCCGCGTTGAGTCCAATCTTCTGGGATGGTAGCCTCAGCGAGTGGGAATTGGTCGAGGTTGATGTCGTTGTTGTTGTTGTTGTTAGTCTGTGTTTGTGTTTGTGGGATGAGTAGTGGAGGGAAGTTGAGGGTGGTTGTTGTGGTGGTGGTGATGACTGTCTTCTGAGTGGCGGGTGGGAAGTGGAAGGCAGTAGTTGGTTGGCTCATGATGGTGATGGTGATGGTGATGGTGATGGATTGGTGAGTGGAGTGTGTTGTTGGGAGGAGAAGAGTCAAGAGAGTGAGAGTCGGGGGGAGGGAGAGTGAGCGAGTGAAGTTTTGGTCAATGAAGACTACTACTCAGCCTGGTGATTATCTAAGCAAGCATCTCACCATACATACTCACTCATGACGTCAATCCGACTCAATCAAAATGGAAAACTCAGCCTTAATGGGCACCTCTTCAGCCAGCAAATTCAGGCCATCATCAGAAAGACAACCGAATCAACATCACCACTCAATCTCAGCCTGCATGGAAGCCACCAAGCGAAAAAAGGATGAACATACATAAAGGAGTATGCATCGGCCCCCTCCATTATGTAACCAACACACACTCTAGCTGATCTCCCTTTTCCATAATCTTCTAAATATGTAGAATCCGCCTTGTTACAGTCACTCACACCAACCAAGGTAGAAGGGAGAGGAGCTGGCACACATCATCTACAATTCTCTTATATCTGGCACACACATCAATTCTCATAAAATCACCATCAATCTTGTGAAAATCCTCAGTTGCAGGGTTGCAGTTTATGGCATGCTTAATTGTTTGGGTGGCCTATGTTGGCTTTATACACTATGTGTTATAAGTCTAAATCTATATTCCAAATGATTTTCTATTATTCACTTGCTTTCTCATCATTTTTTATTGCATATTTTCTTGTCAAAAGAACCATATATTTATTTTAGGACTATATAAGTAGGACCCAGGAGACCCCCTACATATATATGGGGGTAATAAAAAAAACCCCCAGATCTTGCATAAATTCATGCATTAAAAAAAGAGATATGGGGATTGTGCATTTTGGCTGGTTTTGCTCAAGATTGACCTGACATTCATGTAATTAAACTTTGTTTTGTGTGTGTGTACCATTTCAGGTCCCAAAACAGATTCATACCACTTTTGTGTGTATGATTTTGGGGTTTTTGCCCAAAATTGATACATTTAGGTTTATCGAGCTTAACTAAGCCTCTTGATCGGAGGGTCCCAAAGGGACGCTCTCCAAAGGAGAGGCTTATATGGTAAGTGGGACTCGAGGCATGAGGATTTAAGGTTTTCAAGTCGATTTTATGATTTTTTCGCTTAAAACCTGTGTACATAGCAAACCTCAGTGATATTCACAAATCTGAGTTCATACAATGTTAGCCTGGCATCTGGGCTGTCTTTAAAAAACCAAGAAAATCTAGATGTGAGCAAAACTGAGTCAGCTACCTCCATTCTAAGGAGGCCAGTTTGTGAGTCGCCAAAACCTGCTTTTTGGAAGCTTCAGATCATCGGATCCTGCCCGCATGATCGGATAGGAGATTATAAGAAATGTTGTGTTGTTGCTCAGGTGGCATACCTGTCACATTGAAAAACTCAAGAGATAAATAAGTCCATAGGTGCCACAGTTGTCAAGGGAGGTGTAAGAGCGGACAATCAATCCGGTCAAGATCCAACTGGATTCCTTATTCCTCAGTTTTTATTGGGTTCAATATCTCCAGATTGTAGAGGGTTCACAGGAAGTGGCTGGCACCATGATGAGCAGAAAAATCATGTGTTTTTTCATGCTGAACGGCATTGTTAGGTTCAATGATGTACTGGGTCTTCTGGGGGATTTAGTAATGTATCCGGTAATTTGGCTGTATGCCCTCAGGCCAGGTGAGTGACGTTACATGCAAGTCCCTCCCTTGTGGGAGGGGGCCCTCCAGGCCCAGGGAGGGACTTGTGTTAAGTTCGTAGGTTTATACCCACCTAGTTTGGGGGCTTCCTGGGTCCTCTACAAATACTTGTCTATCCAAAAAACACAATTTTCCCTTGTGGAAATTTTCTACTCTCATTTTACTCACTTACTCAGATATAAAACCCTACAACACAACAACTGAAATAAGTCTCAAATCAGTACTAAAGCTCAATTTCAGCCTTTGTTCTCTTTTCTGACTCCACTTTCTACAGCATACATATTAAGATATGGTATGCCACTAATTCAAAAAAAAATGATTGCAGTTTATAAGTCTGGAAGTTGGAGATGAAAAAACTGTTGTATGTAAACTCTTTGACTCATCTGGAAAGATTGATATTTGGAATGGGTGAATCAAACCACTCACTAGGTAAGACAGCTCCTTGAAAATGATCAGGCGCAGGGTGTTTTAATATTAGCAGGAAAAGAATCATTTCCAGTGAACCTGCACAATTATGCCTTCTGTGGAGAAATTGTTTTTGGAAATCAAGTACAATGTGAATTCTGCAATATAAGGAGGAATCCTCTCAGACTCCAGAAAATGGATCCACCTCAAAGCTGCTTGCTGGGAAGATCTAAAACTTGACCTTACCTTAAGGCTTGCTCCACGAGGGGGGGACCTGGTAAAAGAGGCTTGCTTCTGCAAGGTGTTGCCAAAGAGGATTACTTCACAATAGGGCTTGCGAAAAAGGTTGCCTCTTTGAGGGGGGGAAACATCGCAAAAGACTCTTGCCCTGGGGGGGGGGGGGGGGGATCATACCTGAGGCTACAAATTACAATCGACATGCAAAAGGTGTCCCAGTTGTATATTCCACTTATCGGTCCAGGAGTATATATCTCCGGTGAGCAGGCACATCTCGCTCCAGTACAATTCATTCCCGGCAAGCCAAATTATTAACGATCCAGGGAATCAAAAAGGAATAAAGCTCACCACCTCCATCCAGGCCAAGAATCTGATGGAGTCATGAGCCAGGTCTTTTGTCTTCGGGAGGATGTCTCCTGGTCCAAAGAGCACTTGGGATGAGGTCCGGCGACAACTGCTCGGACATGGCGGTCCGATTTTCCCCCCGTCCTGCATCCAGGGCGCAGAACAGCGCAGAACCGATCACATAATGCCAGTCGGATAGAGAGTCGAACCAGGTTTTTCGACCGATTACTGCTGATAATAAGTCTCGTCGCGCATCGTCGCGCAGTTTTTGCAGTTTGAAAATTGAAAGCCAACGCCTCGAAATTAAGCTCTTCTGAGTGTTCTTGAGCCATCAAACTCCTCTAGAGAACAGTCAAGCTCCAAAACATTTGTATGATGCCCCGCTATTTGTGTTACCAATATAGATCCAGATCAAGCCTCCTTAAATTTCAACTAGTTGGATTTACATCATGAATTTCATTACTAGTTAAACTTGTAGAGATATAGAGAAAAAAATGACCTGAGAATAACTTCAAATTAGAGATACATTTGAAGTTAGATAGCAGATAAATGGTAAAAATTATTTTTGGAGAAAGGTCGAAGGTAAACAAAAAAAAACGTATACATGTGCCATCACTAGGAAGAGCAGTTCATAAAATATGACTTGTTGAAAGTATTTATTAGTTGGAGTACATCAATCAGGTACAAAGTTGATCAAGAACTTCTCGAGGGAACACTGATCTCATCGCCGGTATGTTAAAAGCAACTTGAGAGATCACATACCAAAATCAGCTTCTTCATGGGGAATTCACCGGATGCGGGAATGGGAGGAAGGCGAAAAGACCTACTTGAATTTATTCTTTTTTTCTTGGCTCTTCTGAACCTCTAGCATCCTAGTTTCTAACTGAGCCCTGGCGGTTTCTTTAGCTAACTTTTCTTCGCTCAATCTACGTTCGAGGTTTAGTTTCTCGTCTTGCAAGGATTGCTTGAGATGTTCGACTTCCTCAGTTGATCTGTTTAGCCCCATTGTTAGTCTTTGGTTCAGGATTGACATCTTATCACGTTCTTGAACCAAGGCGTTCATCTGTAGCCTTGACTTCCTCAGATTGCGCTCGGTGTCGTTAAGAGCATCTTCGACTGGGGGTTTGAATCATGAAAAAAGCAAGCAATTTAGCAAATCAGATTCAGTCACTGGTTTGGCATGTTTTCATGATTTTTTTACTAACGTTGAGCGATTGCAGATATGTTAGCTCTCAAGTTACCCTCACATTGTTCAAGCTGCTTGGTGAGCTTCGAAATCTACAAGAAGACTCCAAAATCAGTTTAGAGCACCGTTTGACGCGCATCTCGGGAAATTACTTACCGCGCTTTCTTGATCTTCGATTTTTTTCAGCATGCGAGGATTCAAGATGGCCGTGTCCGTGGTACTATCTACTCTAACACTGATGTTAGATGGATCGGTACTGCTATAAACATCTGGGGATACTACCGAGCGAGCGAGATCAGGGTATGTTTGCTTGCTTTCACTTTGCGACTGGTAAGCTTGTGTGGCTTCCGAGTTAATCATTTCGATTTTTTGTTCGTAAAACAGTTTGATTTCATTAATCTTCAAGACGTGATTCTCCTGCGCCATCTTCAATTGAGCTTGAAACTTGATGGTTCGACGTTGATCTAACTCCGACAACGCGCCGATCAAAGTATCATCATTTTCGGCCTGGAGTTCGGTAATCAGAGTTGCATGCTCGGCTTTCAGTTGCTCTAGTCGCATCTCATGTTCAGAAATCAGGTATAGCTTCTCATTTTCAAGCTCGTGGATCCGGGACTCCAGCTGGTTTCTTTCGGTGTGCCATGTTTGGAATTCATCGACGTAAGCCTGGGAAACTCCGTCGGAGCTCTCCTCCACTTTCTGCATGCTGGAAGGCAAAGAAGAAGTGACCTGCGCAATTTCTTGTGCATGCATCAATTCGAGTTCCTGAATCCGGTTCGCAGAATCACTTTCAGCACTCTTGAGTTTTGCATTCATGCCTTCTCTTAACGTTTCAATCTCTTCTGCGTGCTTCTTGTTCAACTGTTCGATTTCGCGATCAAAAGCCTCTCTTTCCCGAGAAGCTTTCGCTCCAAACGATTTTATCTGTGTTCTAACCAAGTTGCTCTGTTGAGTATCAGACTGGGCCCAAATGAGATCGGCCTGAGCTGTCAACTCGGCTTTCAACTTGGCCTGCCAATAGATTTCGAGCTGTCGCAGCTCCTCCTCTTTGGCCATCAGCTTATCGTTGGTAAAGTTAAACAGCTGATTAAAATTCTCGCTGCGCTCCATCTTCACTTTTTCCAGTTCCAATTGTTGCAGGTCTTTCAGCGCTTGTATTTCGGCCTGCCTGTCTTGTTCAGCGTGTAGATCTTGTTCACGCAGCAGTTCAGGATTAACTTCACGATTAGGTGCTTGTGACATCTTCAGCCTTTCATGCAACGCTTCGATTTCAGAGGACATGTTTGCCACCTGATCTGCTGAGAGCTTCACAAGGTCTTGATGCTTACGCTCAGTCGAGTTGAGCTGAGATTTTAGTCTTCCGATCGTCTCGAGGAAGTTTGATTCTTTCTTCGCCATCGATCGCATGAGGACGTTGAGACTCTCAGTATTGTCAAAATTCGCTGGTTGATTCCGGTTAATATCCGAAAAAGACTTTTGGGAAGTTTCAATCACTTCGCACGGCAGCGCTGGTGAAAGATGATGATCGTCTTTGTTTGCTCGAATATGTGATCTTGAAGATGCCGTCAACTGGCATCCTCTATCGTTAGAATTTTGGGAAATTTTGGGAATTGAGACGTGGGCATAGCCGTTCGAGCCGCTTGGGTCGACGCTGTGATCTGATTTGGGAGAATCCACCAATTCGCTCAAGGAAGGGGCTTGACGAATTGTTAACTCCAGCTCCCGAATTTCCTCCTCACGTTCTTTCAAGACTTGCTGAAGTTGAAGGACCTCCCTTTCCAAGCTCTCATGGCTTCGCTCGGCGTTATGAGGGGTATATTGATCATTGGCGAAATTGACCGGTACAGGCGAGGAAAACTCTGCGACAGAGGATACAGGGGCGGGTGAATTTGGAGACCTCATTAACCCTCGGAGGACTGAATATTGTGGTATAGATGAAAATGAAGAGCGGATCAGCGGAAGATTGAGAGGTTGGAGACTCGGGGTTCCCGAATTCGAATAACCTCTTTTTAAAGATCCTGTCGATGGTACATTTCTGCTATTCCGGGTAGGTATCGAGCGATGGGAGCTGTCTTCTAAGGATAGCTGTAGGGCATTTCTGTAAATCTCTTCTTGAGCTCGGGGCTGCTCCGCCTGATCACCCACTTGAATCGGCTGAAGTAGCACCTCCTTTTCAGCTACATCTTTTTTGGGCCTTACAGCATAGTCTTGCCAACGTGAACGGCGATTGGTGAGTAAGGAAGAACCATTATGCACTGGGAATCTTCGTGGCGAGAAGGAGATGGGTGAGGAAGGAGAAGCAGCGGAAGTTGTGCTTGGGGTAGAATAAGAGGTGGTTAAACTGGCTAGAGATGACTGGTGGAGCCTCGAGGATGATTGCACCCTCCGCCGTGCCTCCTCGTGCTGAGCTGTCATCTCGTCCAGCTCTCTTAACGTAGTGAGATACTGTGTTCTGACATGCTCAAGCTCATCAACGGTAGTTGCGTGGCGAATTTGAAGCTCCTGAAAACTGCCGAGCAGTCTACCATCTACTTGAGTTGCACTCGCTGGTTCCAAATGCGCCTCGTTTGCGTCTACAAACGCCTTGGTTTTGACGATTTCAGGCTGCTCCATCTCGGCTATTTTTTATGGGTGGGGCAAGACATAAGACCAGTCATCAGTTCACTCAAACATTTTTTTTCCTTTAAAAAAAAGGGTGGGTATACTTTTCAGCCCTGGAAGTCTTTTTCCTTCTCCTTCGTGTACCTCGGCTACTGCTGACCGGCCATCCTGGTGAAAAGTGGGTGATCGTTCAGTCATGCATATATCATTTGCAGCTGCTTCTGAGCTCGGGGTTTGTAATCTAGTTGTCTTAACATCGGATTCTTCTTTCTGGGTTGCGAATGGATCGAACCGGCTCGCAGAACTTGTTAGAACCGTACTCGTCGGGGCAGCTTCTGTTCGCGTATTCCGCTTAGTTGGTGTCCCTGCTAGGGTATCCAACTGAGATTCAAGAGACCCAATAAAACTTTTATATTCTTCGGCAATTGGATCAATGGAGCTCTCGAGGGTCGATTGGATAGAGTTGAGATTCGAGCGTGGACCAGCCTCTGCAGAAACAACCTTAAAAATGTCGGAGAACGCTTTCCCATAGACCCCTTGAAGCTGGGCGAAGTGCCGTGAAACATGGCGATACTTTGAACTGGGCGAGTCGAATTTTGAAGCAAGATCTCTTTCAATAGAAGACAAACTAAGACGGGAGTTTGAAAGATCCGTGATTGAATTGCTGTCTCGGACGCGAGCCAACTCTGTGCGGAGTTTTTCAACCGTCGTTTCCAGGTAGGCAGTTTGAGCCTGAACTTGGGGTCCGTCAAATGAAGCTATCTGTGGGGCGCTTCGAGCTGGGTCGTCATAGTGCAAAATAGCCTGTGTTGTGCCAATCGATTTGAAATCTTATTAGTTTTTTCCCCGAAAACATGTCAAACTGATGGATAAGAAGCAACACCGACAGGGCTTTGCACCTGAGATGCCGAGGAATACACGCTCCCACTGCACGTACTCAGGTGAGGAGATGATGGGGCGATTGAGCTGCCAACCCCGGCGTCCGAATCAACCGGACAGTCGGAATAAGAAGTCACCTGGGCTCCGAGATGAAATGGAGCGTTTCGGTAGGGCCCGTCATCGCTCGTTAGAAAGCTATCAGAATTCATTGTTGGGGGGTAAACGGTCGCACAAAAAGTAGGGTAGTTGAATGATCCAGTACCACGGAGGCCTTGTCTGTCTACGATTAATGAGTGATTGCTAGCTGGCCGATTTTGTCACAATCCTCTGGTTTGATGGCGTTGGTTTTTGTGGTTCTTTTTCCTGATACCCTGTTGCCTTTTGGTGTCTTGAAATCCACACCTTGACTTAACTGGACACAATTGGAAGTTCCTTCTCATCTGTTCAGCGGATGGGAGGTCAGTGCATGGAGCACAGTGACAGATCAAGACATTGCCCCACCTCCAACATTGTGAGAAAAAAGTGCGGCCTCTGAAATTCCCACTCCTCAAGTCCTGATAGGTCCTGATGAGAGCCTCGGTCAAATGGAAATGCCCACATGAGGACAGATGAGGACATGCTCCCGTGCAAGTTGGAGGCGGCGTGGTCTAACCACAAACTTTAGGTGAGGTTTGAATTTTGAGAAGTACATAACCGACAGGACAGTTGTGGACATATCCAAAGGGAATTACAAGCGCTACGAAGCCCGCGAACACCCATCGAGCACCGGTGCCATTGAGAGGCGTGCCGGAGGTGTTAGGCCCCATTTATAAACAGTATTTTGAAATTATTTTGAAAAACTTTTGAAAGAATTTTGAAGTTCAAAGTTGGCTATAGATTTGAACTTTTTTCTTTTTCAAAAGCGCTTCAAAAGTCCTCAACGAGGAGTTTTGAGCAATCAGAAAATTTATCTCCTTGATCATACAACTTTTGAAAGAGAACGGTTGAAAACCGTTTGCTCGTTACATAGCTACTCCCATGCCCCAGATGGTCAAGACCAACGGCAACTTGGGGCTTCCACAGTCAAAGGTTTGCCAAGTCCAAGTGGGTCTTGCTGTAGATCGTCCCATGAGAACCAGTTGAAGTCGGCCAGAGACATACGGAAGAGCTCGACAAACCTGGCCGCAGGTATTCGTTCATCTTTCCATGGTTCCCAGCGATCCGGAAGCTTGAACACCTCACGCCCCGCTCGAATATAAACCATGTTGCGCTCCTGACATCGTTGGACAAAGAGAAAATGCCAGAGAGCGATTCCTTGAAGAGAGTCATCCTCGTCCAGATTAGGGGGTAGCATTTTGTGTTAAGCCTTGAAATAATACAAAGCCTTGTCTCTCCGCTTGCGCGGACTCAATACAATTGATGCAATTTTTTTCATTACCATGATTGTGCTACTGGGTTTAAAACTACTCCCAGCTTCTGAAAACATTTTGAAAAGTATTTGAAATACAAAAAGCATTATTTTAAGTTCAAAAAAAACCTTTCAAAAGCGTTTCAAAACATTTTCAAAACATTTTCAAAATATCGTTTATAAATGGGGCCTTAATTAGCGAGCTTGGAGGCCGCGTGAGGCTGGCTCACAGATAAACAAAGCTTTTCTATCGTTCAGTTTTACGCTAGAATAGCTTTCCTTCATCATCCTACCTTAGCATAGCGCTGTCATCTCGTCTCTATGTTTCAATCTCCAGTTAGAACACACGCAGACTCGCAGTCAAAGGCTGTGGAACACATATGGAATTCATCCGTCAGTTCCGATGATGATCCGCCCACGGGTGCCCACAGGCCGGAATTCAGGAGGTTATCCGGGCTGCCCGCGGGCCATGCTTGGGCTGCCCATGAGTGGCCCACAGTCGGGGAGTGATAATCACACTCCACCCCCCTTCGCACACACACTCCAACACTCCCTTCTCTGAAGGGAGTGTGGGACCGCACTCCAATTGAAATTGGAGTGTGGGTCCGCACTCCAACCCTCTGCGCGGGCATTCCCCCAGCAGGTTGGCGTGCGGACCTGAACACCAATTGTGATAGGAGTGCGGTCCCACACTCCCCTTCTGAGGGGAGTATGGGAGTGTGCATGTGTATACTTTATACATATGTACATATTCCCTGGGCTATCCCATAGGACCCAGGCCTGGGTCTTATGGGATAGCCCAGGGCTTGAGCCGTTGAGGCCGTTGAAAAAAGAAAAGAAAAGGACCTGGGGCTCCCAGCCCCAAAAGATTGTACTGTCTTGGGGCCGGGAGGGGTTCCTCCCGGCCTTGAGATTGTACATGGCTCAAGTCCGAGAGGAATCCCTCTCGGCCTTGGAAATTTGTACAGTCTCAAGCGTCGGAGGAATTCCTCCGACCTTGAGGCAAAGCTCACACCGCCGGGAGGAAGCCCTCCCGGCAAGCTAGTCTGAACACCCTCTCGTCGGGAGGGATTCCTCCCAACAAGATGGGTTGTACACCCTCTCGTTGGGAGGGATTCCTCCCAACGAGATGGGCTGTGAACCATCTCGTCGGGAGGGATAACTCCCGACGAGAGGGTGTCTCGTTGGGAGGAATCCCACCCAACGAGATGGGCTTAAGACCAGCTCATCGGGAGGAAACCCTCCCAATGAGCTGGACTATGTACCAGTTCATCGGGAGGGTTTCCTCCCGATGAGCTGGACTATGTACCCGTTCATCGGGAGGGTTTCCACCCGATGAGCTGGATTATGTACCAGCTCATTGGGAGGAAACCCTCCCAATGAGCGCCCATAGTCCCAGCTCATCGGGAGAAACCCTCCCGATGAGCTGGACTATGTACCAGTTCATCGGGAGGAAACCCTCCCGATGAGCTGGACTATGGGCCGTCAGGGTTCAAATGAAGCGAATCCCTGTAGGACCCAGGCCTGGGTCCTACAGGGATCTTCAAGGCCATCGGCCAAGGTTTGAACCTTGGCTGATGGCTGTCAGGGTTCAAACCTTGAACCCATGTCGGTTCAAGGTTTGAACCGGTCAGACCGTCTCTCCATAGGACCCATCCCAGGGTCCTATGGGATATGCCCCGACCTAAACCCATATGAATATGGGTTTAGGTCAAGGCATATGGAATTGCTGGCTGCAGGCCTGCCTGCAAGCGAGGCAACCTCGCTTAACGGCTGGTGTGCAGCATTGCACGCCAATCGAAATTGGCGTGCGGACCTGCACACCAACCTGCTGGGGGAATGCCCGCGCAGAGGGTTGGAGTGCGGTCCCACACTCCCTTCAGAGAAGGGAGTGTTGGAGTGTGTGTGCGAAGGGGGGTGGAGTGTGATTATCACTCCCCCCCACAGGCCTTTTCCAGGTCTTTGCAAAACTGAAACATTGGCTGGGGAAAAAAAATCCAATTCCATATTGGACCTGACCCGAACTTGTCCCAAGTCTCATGCTGCGGGGGGCGCATCTGGCAGCGTAGCGCTGGCCAGGCGGTTCCCGAAGGGAACTCCCTGCAGGGAAGACTTGGGACAAAAGTTGCCTGACTCGCTTGCTGAGTTTGAGGCGTTTTGGTGGGAGCGTCATAAGATTTGGAATCACAATGCTCCCTCAAACCTTTCTTGATGTTTGGTCTGGAATTTGTAAAGACCTGCCTGATCTTGTTGATCAGGCCAAAACTTAGAAGTTGCACCTCGAGACTGTAATTAATAGTAAATTTTTAAAATTATGATTTGAACTATTTTTGAGCTCAAATGCGGGCTTTGCTCAACTTGGGCCCACCAAAAGAAGCCAAGTTGACTTGAAAAGTCAACCTTTTCAAAAACTTTTTATAAATGATTAACAAGCATAACCAAAAAACTGAACACAGGGAAATATGGGCAAGAGACAGGCCTCCCCTGTCTCAGGAGGAAATTAGATGAATATGATTAAGGGAGTGCTTAGAGTGGAAAACACACAAGAAAGTGAGTTTTCAGTCAAATTCTGAAAACTCACCACACGGGCCTTACGACATTGGGCATAGGCCTCCACTGGCGTGGACAGCTCCGCTGCTTGCTACCGCTCCCGCCGTGGGGGACTATGTTAAGCTTGGACCTGACCAATCGGCAAGACCCCCAGCAGGGCACCCAAGTGCACCGGCCAGACGGGCACCCAAGCACCCAGCCAGAGGCCCACCTAGACACAATTCTCATTTGGGCCATCTTGGGCTGGGCCTAAGTTAAAAAATTCATCAAAAGCTTGACCAAAACTTGGTTGGGTTTGGTCGGCCCAATTATTATCCTTACTGAGAATACTGATGAAAAACAGGAATTATAATTGAAGCTAGAACCAGAACTTTGAAAAACAAATAAAAAAACACAAGAGTTAGGCAGTTGAAGCATAGATAAGAAAACATGAACATCTAACAGTCAACAAAAAGAAAAGAAGAGAAATTAATTTACCACGAGAGGATTTGTCTTTTGAGTTAGACAGAACAGAAATGCTAAAGTAAATTAGATCAAACAGCGAGAGATAGTAGACACTAGTGTTTTAAAAGAGATTCAGAAAGAGAGTTGATGCAGGTTAATGTTTCTGACAAGAGAAGATGAGATAGAAATTGATCGAGTCTTTTCTCACCAAATTGGCAACAGCCAGATGAGGAATTCAAGAGAGAGAATAGGCGGAGCGACGATGAGTGGTGGATGAAGAGAAGTCGGAAAGACTTGAGTTCGTCGTCGATAGGATTGAGCGAGGAGGGATAGGAGCGAAAGAAGGAAGAGAGAAAGAGAAGAAAAGAAACAGAGTCGGAGAGCAATGAGGAAGGGAATGGTTGAGAGAAGTTGATTGAGGATTGATGAGGTTGGTGGAGTGAGTCGAGCAGTTAGTTGGGATTTGTGGAATGGTTGAGGCGTGAAAGTGTTGGAGACTGCTGGGGGAAAAGGAGTGAGATGAGCGACGACGGAGACGCCTTTTATGCCTTAGTGGAACCCGGTTCAGCTTGTGGTTGAGAGGAGATGTTGGTTAGCAGCGGTGGGCCGCTACGCTACGCTACGCTTTTGGCCCAAAAAGCGTAGCGTAGCGGCGCTTTTTTTTCATCCAAAAGCGGTAGTGTTAGCGTTTTTGTAGCGGTTTTTCGCTACGCTACGCTGCGCTACAGCGCTTTTAGCGGAAAAAGCGGCCAAAAACCGCTAAAAAGCGCTGTAGCGCAGCGTAGTGGGCCCTTTTTTGCGGCCCACACGCGTAGCGTTAGCGGTGTCGTGGCGGAATCCCGCTACGCTACGCTAAAGTTGCGTGGAATTCCGCTACGTTACGCTGCGCTAACCGCTACGGTTAGCGTAGCTGGCCCAGCGTTGTGGTTAGGCTTGTGGTGGATTAGGTCAGTTTCCATGGTGTTTGTGTTTGAGGCGGTGAGGAGTCGAGAGTGTCGAGGCGTTGTTTTGAGAAGATGGTGTTGTTTTGAGAAGATGTATGATTGGATGTATTGAGGGCAGAGAGGAGATAGAGAGATAAGAAACGATCAGAGAGGGATTGAAGGGAGCGGAAGGAGGGATCGGAGTGAGCGGAGTGCGCGGAGTTTTTTAAGGAAAAGAAAGAGAAAAAGAAAGAAGGAGATAAGAAAAGAAAAGAAAAAGGAGAATTCCAGCGAGAATTCCAACAAATACTGTAGATTAGACCATCTCCACCGCAAAGAGTTGTTTGAGTTATTAAGTTTACAAACTTGGCAACTGTGGCACACCTATAGCAACACGGCAAGACTTGATTTTCCAAATTCCACCACAGGGTGATCAAGTAGGTAAGTTGTGTGTGAAAGGCCACCCAATAGGAGAGGAGGATCAGGATTTCACCAAGATTGCCATGTGAAACCATTGGGTTGCTAGAGGGATTCTACATCTGGAAATCCTTTACTACCCGGGAGGGTCAAAACTACTTTTACTTCCCATCTGGTGTCCATGGTGGTAGCAGTGGTGGGCCGCTACGCTACACTACGCTACGGGCCCATGTAGCGTTAGCGTAGCGGCACCATTTTTTTTTTTCACGTAGTGTTAGCGCGCCGCTAAGGCCGCTGCGCTACACTAATTCGTAGCGGCGCTAACACTCACCAATTTTTGGTGTAGTGTTAGCGCGCCTCTGGCGCCCCTATGCTGCGTTACGCTACGCTACAGTGTTTTTAGCGGCAAAAAACGCCTAAAAATTGCTAAAAACTGCTGTAGCGCAGCGTAGCGGGCGTTTTTTTGCGCCCTGCGCGCGTAGCGTTAGCGCAGATGGGGGGAATCGCGCTAACGCTACGCTAAACGCTAGTGCAAGTTTTTTCCCCATTCGCGTAGCGTTAGCGCGGAAAATGAGAAAAGCGCTAACGCTACGCTAAATTGTAGCGGTGTGG